AACTTCCACAATTTAGAGGGGCCAAAGCCTTTCTAAATATGGTTTATCCATTGGCTACATTGATGGTTGAATTTGTGCCATGAGTTTAAGGGGGGCAACCGGTCAAGCCTCAAGCCTTGTCCTACATATGGGCTATCCCACTTGAATTGTGGTTTTCAGTGAATGATCTTCGCAAATTCTTAGCTAACCCTTTTATAGCTAAGCTAACTGCACCAGCTTCATATATATGAACATACCTTTTGGTTTTTTTTTCATTATATCTTAACTCTCTCTCTCTCTCTTCTCTTTTCTTAGCTATATTAATTTTCTCTCTCCTCTGTTTTCTACTTATTTTGAAACTTTTTCTCTCTTTTATTATCTCTATAAAAATGAGCATGTAAATATCTCACTTTCCTTCAATCATTATTCTTCTTTGTCCTTTTACTTTGAGCATTCTCCAATTTGTCACCATTGTAGCATTTTCCATCGTCATCATATTCGTCGCGATCGTGAATCGTGAGGTAATTTTGATATTATTTTGTTTATGTGGTTTTATAAATACGTGAATGGTATAAAATTGTTGATTTTTATCAATTTTGCATTTGTGATTTTTAATCTATCATATTATAGATCGATAATTATTTTCTGTATGATGAACCAAGATAAGATTTAAGGTGGATATTTAAATTTTAGAGTTAAAATAATTACAATCGAACTTGTGTATAATTTTCGTAAGAAAAAAAATGAACACGTAGTACTTTAAAAATGAACATGCAGTACAAAATTAACTTTTAATACACTAAAAATGAACATTTAGTACAGAAAAAATGAACATATTTTAACGATTTATTTTATCTTTATTTTCGTTAATATATACAAAGAATTTGAAATTATATGAATATATGAAAATCATGTTCATTTTTAATATACTAAATGTTCATAACTTTTTTTGACGTGTTCATTTTATTAAATGTTCATTTTAAATAATAAATGTTCATTTTTTTAAAGTGTTCATATTTTTTATGAAATGTTCATTTTATTAGGTGTGGTCTAGGTATTCAATGATTGTATGATAAATGTTCATTTGTAATGTACTAAATGTTCATATTTTTATACGTGTTAATTTTTTATTACTAAATGTTCATTTTTTTAACGTGTTCATAATTTTATTTATTTATTTATTTTTACTTAATGTTCATTTTTATGGTTTGTCTAGCAATTATATGATTATATGATAATCATGTTCATTTTTAATTTACAATATGATCATATTTTTTTAACGTATTCACTTTTTAATACTAAATTTTCATTTTATTTACGTGCTCATTTTTTATTACTAAGTGTTTTTTTATTTTTCTTACATGTTCATATTTTATACTACATGTTTATTTTATAGGTCGTGATGCATCTATCCTACCTATACCAGCGTGCAGCTAAGATTTATTAACTGATCTTCAAATCTATGGGCAACTCATTGTGGACCTCAATGTTGGTGTAGACCTATTTAACCAATTTCAATGGGCCTGCTTGGTAATAATACATAACCAACATCACCAACATAGAATTTATTTTTAAATTTTATTTAAATATTCCAACCTTTGTCCGATTTATTTTTAATAATCAGACCTTTTAATTATTCATGAATAATCCAAGCTTTACACCTTATTCTTTTTTATTAGGCCAAGATGACCGGTTACCGGTTCTTTAAGTAATTTTGTTGTTTTTTTTTCTTTTCTTTTTAATTTAACAAAATAAATAAAGGAAAAAAAACATTTTCTCTCTCCTCCTCCTCCCATCCACCCTCCCCTACTCTACTCTGCCACCGATGCACTCTCCTGCCCTTCCCCTTACTCTCTACCTTCCTGCTCAACCTCCCCGTCACCCACCCAACCCCGCAGTTCCATAGGCTATGATTTTGCTTGTTCGAATTGGTGGCTTCCGGTGGGTAGGGTTCTGTTGCGTGAGGGGTTGCGAGTTGGTGGCGCTGGTACTGGGCAGCAGAGGGCTCACAGGTGAGTGGTGTTATGGGTTAGGTGCGTGAGGGAGCAGCTGGGGCGATTGGTGGCGGCTGCTTGCGGTTGCTGCCGGAGGAGGATATATAGTAGCGTGTTGATAGGGAAGGGGGTTTCGAGGTTTGCTAGTGATAGGAGAGATGGTTTTGGGCGGCGTCGGTGTTAGTGGTGCCTGGCGGGGGTTTAAGGATGTACCGATTTCAAGGGTGGGGGTCTTGGAGGGTGCCGAATTCCTAGTGGGGGTTTTAGGCGTGTTTGGTTCGATGGAGGTTTTCGGGTGGGGATTGGCCGGTTTCGGGTGGGTTGTGGCCGGAAAGACAAGGTGGCTGGAAAGAGAGGTGAAGGAGATGGTGGCCGGAAAGAGAGGCGGTGAAGGGCATGGTGGCCGGATTTAATGGAGGAAGGGAGAAAATTGGAAATAAAAAATTCATTTTTTTTTAGAAAATAAAAATAAAATAAATATATATTTAGACGAATCAAAACGAGACACATGACAAGGTAACCTGGTGTTGTAGGTTGGTAACCTGTTTGGCCTGATAGAATAGAATGGGGTACAAAGTTTGGATTATTCATGAATAATCAAAAGGTCGGATTATTAAAAATAAATCGGGCAAAGGTTGGATTATTTAAATCAAATTTTCCTAATATTTATTAATTTTTTTTAATAGATTTACCCAATTTATTTGAGTAAATGCAATTCATGGGTTTTTATTGACATTTTGCATCAATTTCTTTCTAAATATGGTAAAAGATACAGGTTTTTATACCAATAAATCAATTTTTTTTTTCAATAAATAATCTTTATTGAAATAATTATATGGGTGTTTGGTTTGTTAATTGGAATAAGTCGATATATGTTTGATTTTTTTTTTGGTTTATATACTGGTTTGGTTTTCATGCTTTATTAATGGAATGGAATATGAATCTTAAAAGGTGAGATGAGTATGAGATTCGAAGGGATGAGGTAGAGTTATGACTTAAAACCTTTTTGGTATGAGATTTTATATCTAAAAAGCCTAATCAAGTACCATACAATAAAATGAAAGAAATGGATTTTTACTCCATTCTAACCCATTCCAAAAGATCCTACCAAATGAACCCTTAGTCATTCTTTACTTTCCTTTTTAATTAATATACTCTCTATCTCTTTTCAATCTGTCTGTAATCTCTCTCTTATCACATGGATCCTCTTTAATTTTTCTCTCTATCTTTCTCTATTAAAAAAATTGTTTAGAAATCCGCAATTATAAAAGTAATACAACCAAAAAACTGGAAGAAAAAATTGAAGAAATTTAAAATTTCCTGTTTAGAGTCCACCATTCACATATTCTACTCCATTTTTTATAAGGTTTTGTTTTTAATTGTTAGCTTCCGGAGTATTGTTTATCACTAGATTCACTACTACTCGTGGTATTTAGAGTTGTCAAATCGGGTATTCAAATGGAGTTTGGGTTGACCCACGACGGGTTGGAGTGTTTGGGTTGGATAATGACGGGTCATTTATCCTGACATATCAAATTAAATTGGGTTGAGTTTATTTAAATTTGGGTCAAAGTTGGGTCTGAGTATAGTTGGGTATAAATCGAATTTGGGTCAAGTCATATCGAGTTCATATGAAATCGAATTCGGAATTTATTGGATTTATTTGGGTAAAAACGGATTTATTAAACTTTGGATCAGGTCATTTTGGATTCGATTAAATCTTGATTCAAATCAATTCAATTTCGGTTAAAATTTATGTAGGCTTACTTCAATTATTAGCTCATTCTCGGTTATAATTATTTTAGTTTCAATTTCTGGGTCGTGTAATATGAATTCGGGTCAATATCAATTTGAGTCATTTTAGTTTCAGTTATATTAGCATATAGGTTATGTCATTTTTGTTATTGGAGATTTCAATTCATATTTTCTTTGCATCTTTTTTTTGGGTTTCATTTAAGTATTGTGTTGGCTTTTTAGAATTGGTATAAGATTGACAACTCAAGTCAAGCATTAAAGAAAACGATTACTTATCGCCTTATTAGGTGTTTATCACGTCATTGTAAAACGTCTTTTTTCTTACCATTTTGCATTTATCGTCTTTTGGGCTATTTATAATCATTAATTCATTAGCAACTCATTGGTTATTGTCATGGAAAATTTTGGCTTAGGCTATTATTAATGGGTTGGGTTTAATTAGACCATGAGTAGTTTCAAGTCGAGTTTAATCAGTTTGTGGGAAGTTTCAAGTCGAGTAAATAAAGATCGGGTAAATAAAGGTCATATAAAAAGAGATATTTTTCGAGTCTAAATAATTTCGGGTAGTTTTCGTTTCGGGCCAAATCGATTTCGAAACTTGGATTATCCGATCTTATTGGTTTCGGATTAATTATGAGGCGATTTCAAATTGGGTTTGGATCATACATTACCGGATGAAGTCAGTTTCAAGTTAACTTCGGATTGACCCCAAATTAAAAAGCTTTCGGGTTGTGTAAGTTTTTGACACCCTAGTGATATGGTAGCTACTCAAGGCACCATTCGTTGTTATTTAACGGAGTAGTAAAACCAGTAATTATCACGGACACTTCCCCCTAATACGGTAATACCCAACCCATAGATAAAAACATGAGGATTAAACAAGCCATATAGTACAAGTCCCTTTCTTGGTGAGGTCATTACACATTTACACCTATATCGTTTAGTGTCAAGTGTCAACTATTCTTGCCAGTTGCCAAGTTGCGGCAAATACATAAATAGTACTCCGCAGTCACACATTGCAACAAAATGATTCATTTCTAACAATTGGAAGCCAATCAAAGCCATATATTATTACCAACTTTTATTTAAAAAAAAAATATTAATAATAATAATACTAGTACTTAGTACTTCATCTGTTCCTTTTCATTTTATTTGACTAGAAATGTATTTTTATTAAAAATTAGAATATTTATTCATATCTTATTGAATATATTCTTGATCAAAGGTGTCTATTAGAGATCATTAAATTACAATCGTAAAGATTCTAAAGAATAAATATGAACGGAGGAAATACTATATATGGACATAAGGTAAGGATTTGACACGACAATAATAAAAATAAAAAAGCGATTCTACCAAAAAAAAAAAAAGCATAATTAAAAGTGGATCCAAACCCCCTTATCAAAAAAAAAAGTGGATCCAAACCCAAAAAAAATACATCAAGAAAATGATGTTCACTCAATTATTTCCACATAGTTCATCACTTAGAACCTCTTACCCTGTACACCCAAAAGGAATCACTTAATCACCTTCATAAAAAAAAAAAAAACTTTCAGAATCTTGTCTAAAATCATACTTTGTAGCATTTTGACTAATCACATGATTATAATATGATTAATATAATATATGTATAGATAGCACTAGTAATATGATATATAATAGAAAAAATTATCTGTTCTTTTATAAAAATCAATCACAACCCCCCTTTACAACCCCAACAAAATTAATCTAATCATTATCTTCATTACCATTGCCTTTATTCTCCTTCAAGCAACACTAATGATGCTATCTTTACTGCCGTCGAATCCTCGAAAGGTAGGGGATCGCCTCGACGATTCCTCATCCAGCGGTGGTCCTTGTCCTGGTCCTTGTGCGAGCTTAAGAGAAAGCAATGGCTCACATTCCCTTTCTTTAGGACTATAGGTTGACGTTGATGATGATGATGGTGATGACGTCATTGGTAATTGGTTTAGATTAAGACTTGCCATCTTTGAGGAAGGCGGGACCGGAAGTAACGGGAGCGAACGGCCTTGTTTGGTTGAGAATGCAGAAGGATAAGGAGATGGAAATGGTATAGTTTGTTGAGTTGAGTCTAGGCTTGATAATTGACTCTCACTTGCTGATCGACTCACCTACATGGTTTAACAAAAATGGTGATCGGTAACAATAATCATACATCGACGAACAAAGTTATGTTACAAAAAGTTATGTTACAAAGTAAAACAACTTACATATTCATTTCGTTCCCGTAAAATTAAAAAATAATAATATTACATTACACTATATAAAAACGTAGATAATATAGAATAATACTACGTTACACTATATTAAAAACGTACTCGTAGTAGATAATATAGAATAAACGAATGATAATTGAGTCTCTCCCTCTTGAGACGGCAATAGCCACTTGTAAAAAAATTGATACACAAATCACCAATATGAGAAGAAATCATTATTAACAACTACTCCATTACTGTGGGAAACTATATCCTTTAGAAATGACTAATAACAAATGTCATACAAAAATGTGACATAATTAAACTTGTTCTAACTACTAAAAATAAAGATTGTACCCTTCAATTTACAACTTCTACTTCGGATTTAATGGAGTATAATACTTGTATAATTTACCTACTAAGATGCATCACTATTTGTAATTCAATCGTAATATGTTTTGTACTAGTAGAAGTTTTAACAATATATGGAGAACAATAATGTGTATAATATCAATAGACATTTATAAATGAATGCATCATAATTTTAGTAGTACCAAAACAAACAAACAAAAAGTTTAAACTTTTTATAGAAAGCTACTTCGGACCAAACACACACAAGAGTCCAAAATGTGATCTCCTAAATGATTTAATCAAGAAATTAAGCAAATTTGTCAACCAAGCAAAACTAGAAAACAAATAATAAGTTGCTTACAGTGTCGGTAGTGATGTCAAAGAGACTAGATCGACGTCGGCGGCGGTTGAGATTGGTTTGCCGGAGGAAATGCTTTTGAGCATGACTAGCAACTTGTGTTGGTGTTCTTGTCTTGACAAAGTTCCTAGATATCCCTCTCCAATCTCCTCTTCCTAACTTATCTAACCCCAATAAGAATAGCCTGTGCTCTTCTTCTGTCCATGGAATTCCTATGCATATGCCAATAAAACAATTTCTAACACAATTAGTAAACCCAAAAAATTTCATAATTTTAACAACAGATTAAAAATCAAGTGAAAAGTTTCGATTTTTTACCCTATTTGTGCAATTCACTCTTAACTGTTAGCATTAAGGGTCTTTGTCAGGATCGTTCTAATAAATTAGGATCCTTCGTATTTATTGATATTCAACCGTTATAATTTTTACTTATTAATAATTAAAAATATAAGAAATGTTTCACTTAACAAAAAGGGAGTACTAATTTGTACTTCTATTTAGAGTACTTTAAGTTATGTTTTAAAACGAAATTCAGTTCCGAATATGTTAAGCAACTAACACACCCAACCACATCGGACGACATGTAAAAAGACTAAGATTTAAATTTTCTTTTTTCATTATTTTAATTGGACGGCACCGCCTCAATATAATCCGAGTTACCTTTAAAACATTAATTCATATTGTTAATTTAGATAATAATTAACAGTTGTTATCACTTTTTACAAATAAGATCTAGTAATATAACAACATCTAATCTAAAGACTAAAACCTTAGCTCAATGAAAATGGATTCAAACGCTAACATTATACGGAATTGTAATCAAACCACTCATACCAATAAAACACTACTAACGTCCTCAAATAACTTTTGACTTGATCAATTAATTAATTAATTAGATTTTAATCTCAAAATTATTGAAAGATGAGTAATCAATTATATAAAAAAATTTAACAAAACTTCCCGACTCTTCATTCTCACGTAACAGCCAAAAAAAAAAAAATTAATACTACTAGATTAAAAAATATACCTCGTTTGCGTTCGCGGTCACGGGTTCGAGACCTGGAAGCATGAAGAGCATCATCAGAATTATACCCAGAAGAAACAACATCCTGAGAAGAAGAATCGATATGTTGCTGATGCTGATCTTGATGTTGTTGTTCGTATTGAGAAAGATTATTCATACTAAAACTCTTTCGAAAACCCGATGACGATGATACCGACGACGACGACGGAGAAAATGGAGGAGAAGGAGACAGAGAGGAATCTACGGCGTTAAATGTAACACCAAAGAGCCTAAACCCCGTCGTATGAGACGGAGGTACGACAGAATGTTCCGAGCAAGTTCTAGCGTTGTGCCCATTGTGGCCGCACTGAGAGCATGTTCGAGGCGATTTGGATGGCGGCGCAGTCATCTATGTGGTGGATTTTTAACAATTTTGAGGATAGATAAATAAATAAATTAAGAGAGGTTTTTTTTTTTTGGGTTTTTTGGGGTTTGGTTTGGTATATATAAGTACACAAATGAGGAGGATTAGATGGGTTTAAAAAAATTGGAAAGAAAAATGAGAGTGAAAAGGAAGTTTCGTGCAATTGTGATTTTTGGGATATATTAAGAAAAGATTTTGTCAATAATAAAGTTTTTTTTTTTTCTTTTTTGACAAAATAATAAAGATTGAATAAATGAGTAATATATAATAGATAAAATATAATTAACAAAAAGAAGAGAGAGTGTGTGATAGAGAGAAGGATGATATAACGTGTTGTGTTGTGACTTGTGATTCTTGTTTCTTATTAGTAACTCCAACTTAATTAGCGATTAATATGTTATTTATGAGTCATGACTACCTAAAATATTGGGGATATTTTCTATTTTTAGGTACATGAGGTTATTGAGAAAAACTGGCTTTACTTTCCAAAGTTTTTCGTAATAAAAACTTGCTATTTGGGGATTTAGGTTATTGCCTTATCTCAAAAAGTTATCCTCCCGTTTCATTTTAATTACCATATTAATATGATGTTTTATTTATTTTTTATTTTTTTATTTTTTTCTGAAAAGAATATTATCACGAGGCTTTAATTAATTAATTTATGCAATAAGTAATTATTATCACGAGGCTTTAATTAATTATTATTATTATTATTATTATCTCAAAAACAGTTAAAGTCATACAACCTACAATAAATTAGTGGGAAACCGAGATACAATTTGGCCCCCCACTCCTCTAGCCATAGCAAAGCCTATCCTATTAAAGATATAAGCTGCAGCACGCGCCCCAATGTCTTGCATCGCCGAGAACCTCTGAACCCTCTTCAACAACGCAACAACCTCCTTCTCTAATTCCCCAAGCGAAGAAAAGGAGAAGGGAATGAAACCATATCCAATTTGCCGACAACTAGCTTCATAATTCACCCGCTTACGATGAGCCGCATCAGCCACAACCCGTCCAGGAACAAAGTCAGATAGCCCTGTCTGTGTCAAAGGAGAAGACCCAGTTAGGTCCACACAAACATCGCGACCACGATCCCAGGAATAAAGTAACACATCAGCAGGTCTGAGGGCCCCGTCATTCCCACCGGATAACCCTATGTCAACCTCCTTTCTTGCTGAAATCCCAGATCTGTAGCAGATATCAAAAAGGGTATCCCGGACAACATTATGCCGATGTTTAATACCCACAATACAAGCACACGACACCGCGTGATCACCGAAAATGTCCCCAGTAAAAACCCAAGAACAAGTAGAGCATGATGTCGAGATAGAGAACAATGGAATACCCATCCTGTAGCACAACACACATCGGTAGGTCTTTGCGTTCATCGTCTGACCCAACCTAGAAATACGGACTGCCCGAAGCCAAGCAAAGGTGTGATCTCCCTGCTACGATTTCCATAGTGCTGATTGCCGGGAAGACAAAGAATAGGCGGATTCTGCAGAAGCGGTAACCTTTGTGAAATATATATCTTCCAATTTCTTCATGAGTTTAGGGGAAGCGATCTCACTAGGATTATCCATAATGTCAGACTCCACTATTCCATTAAACGGACTCAACGCATCTGCATAGGCTCGTCCAAGACCAACAATGTCAGCATGCCGTAAAAGTTGTGTCTGCAACCCAGCAGATTGTAACCGAGAAGCAAGAAAAACATAATGACGAACATCACCTGTTGAATATACCCCAAGCCCTCCAAACGCAAATGGTAAGGTGGCAAGTCACCATTTCCAATCGCCAAACCCAGGCCCCGAAGCAGTAACAATACGCTCCAAGGAAGATCGAAGAGCCCTGTCGAATGTGCGCTGAGCCGTCTCAAAAGTACTAGGAGGACAAGTACGCAATGCAAAGTAGAGTTTAGAAACTCCGGTACATGCCCTAAGTAACAATTGCTCACACTGAGGATCATCAAGCATAGCAACCTTATCGATAAGCGCAATGGTCTTAGTCACCCTCTGCATCACAAGCTCACCACCAAAATCGGAATCGAAACTAGTAGGACCCCCAAGCAACTTAACACCACGCAAAGGTCGAGCAATATTAGGTGGAAAGACACCCACAAGCCTGCTTCGAGGGTCTTCGGTAGGCCAGAAAACTTCAGTTTTCTCCACGTTAAGATGTAACCCAAAACAAGGCCCTTCCTCCATAATCAACTGCAAAGCCTTCCCCACCACCAACGTGTCACCAATAATAGTGTCGTCATCCAAATACCATGCATGAAGACATACATCAAAAGTGTCTCTGATTTTACACACCAGGGGTTGTAAAACCAAAGCAAAAAGTAGAGGACCAAGGGGATCACCCTGCTGCACCCCCTAAGACGACCATAAGGTGTGGTCCCCGTAATACAATCTGGCGGGATTAGAATAGCAGAATTCAACCCATCGCGATAGGCCTGGACAATGACGACGCACTTCACGTAACATGACCGCACGATCAACTAGATTGAAGGCATTTTGGAAATCCACCAACAACATAGAAAGACCAACATCGGAACCACGATCCTCAATCAATCGATTCACAGCATGAATAATCGCCTCACCTCCCAAAGAAACTCCAACACCAAATTGGAGACCATCAAAGTAACATCCTAAAGACTGGCCAACCATAACAGCACCGACCTTCGAAACCAGACGCCGCCAAATAGTTCCCATAGCTATAGGACGAATACCACCACCAGGCTTGACAAGAGGTGTGAGAGGAGCACTAACAATATACTCTCCTAGCTCCATAGGACATCTACCAGCTAGAAAGTGATTAACCACCCCGAAAATAGAGTCAACTAACTCATCCGAGACAGCCACAGCAGCACCACTCAAGCAATTCATAAGGTGCTGAGCACGTAAACCATCCCTACCACATGATGTGCCACGTGGAAAACTCTTAATCCGATCCAAAACAACAGCTGAAGTAGTAACGGGATGAAGGCCATCAACAGGTATATTAGGCAAGGATGGAGCTGGAGAAGTAGGGTGTTTAGACTGTAAATCTGCGAGAGTGGCGTCATTATAAGGAGCAACGCCTGAATAAGAAAGAACCCGGACTGCAACAGTGTAGTGGCCGTCACAATTTTTTCCTACGACATTGCTTGATATTACGCTCCTCCAAATCAAGGTCCTCATCACCAACCACTGATAAAGTAGGAGAATCCTCTGCCAAAGTATCCCTCACAAGCTGCAAAATACCACTTGGTGCACTCCAAGAACAAATAGCACGGGAAATACTTGCTTTTTGAAGCCGATGTTTTACAGAAAACCTAGACTCAAAGCTGCTCCGCGGGCGAAATGTTTTTAGGGTACAAAGAGATAACACCAACAAAGAGACCCAACTAGAAATGTCATCAGGCCTAGAGATCACCTTATCAAGGGCACCTTTCAGAACCCGAGAAAACCCCAAACGACACTTGGGAGGTATAGACTTCACAATACGAAACCCCTTGGAGAACAAACAATCAAGAAGAGCCACATCAAAATCACAATGTTGATCTTGCACCAAACCACCTATTCGCCCAAGCTGAGCCGGAGAAGAGGGAGCTTGCGGCTTGGAGAAATCATGAAGCACAAAACGAACAATACCATCCCCTTCCTCCGGGGGTAACACAACCTCACTTGGACTATGACGACACTTAGTACGATGCGTATGCGTTTTGTAACAAACCCCACATAACCAAATCCCCATACGCAAAAAAGTAACTTCAGCCTCAGAATACACAGCCAAATTAGAAGTCAGAGAATGCCGAGTGATATCCCGCGCACCAATACAAAAATGACGATCACAAAGATGCTTGATAAGAGAACTTTTAGTAAAACCATCGCCACATCCATCTTGACAACCACTAAGACCCACAAAGGGGCAATGAAACTTCACCCGAGCACCCGACATAGCTACACACCACCGAAAACTACTCAAGTCGCATGAAAGGAAACAAACTCCTCGCAAACACGCTGCCACCACGAAGTACCTTCACCCAAACTTCACCCAAGCCAAAAACCACGCTACTAACGCCTATTACAGCCCTTAAAAACTTCCTGAAAACAACACCCAAAACAGCACCAATAATGCACCAAAACATCACCTAAATCAGCCCCTAAAATACGAGATATTGGATTGAATTACGCCTGAGAAACGCCTAGAACAGCCTGCAAACACGCCCAAAGATACATGCCCAGAAACAGCCTGCAAGATGACCACGAAACGCCTAGAAAAAACGCCTAAAAACGACCAGAAAACGACTGAATAACGCTTGAAAAAATGCCTGGAAAACCACCTAAAAACGATGCCCTTCGCCGGAGAATTATAACCGGAAAAACAGACGTGGAACCTGCCGGATTTTGAACGAGAAACCACGGCTGAAACTGCCTGAATCACGCTTGGAAACTTCGCCTGATGGCCGCCTAAAACACGCCTGGAAAAGTCGCCTCGAAACTGCCCTAAAGAAGCCCTGAACCACCTGAAAATCACCCAAAAAATCGAGAACCCACCTGACCTGAACGCGCTTGACCTGAACACACCTACTCGCCGGAAAATAAGCCGAAAAAAGGACGAGGAAAGCCTACCCTACCCAGCCCTAATCGCCCCTAACGAGAGAATTTTATTATTATTATTATTATTATTATTATTATTGTTATTATTATTATTATTATTATTATTATTATTTATTATTATTATTATTATCTCAAAAATGACAAAGTCATACAACCTACAAAAAATTAGTGAGAAGCCGAGATACAATTTGGGCCCCCACTCCTCTAGCTATAGCAAAACCTATTCTAGTGAAGATATGAGCAGCAGCACGTGCCCTAATGTCTTGAGTTTTCGAGAACTTCTGGATCCGCTTCAGCAATGCAACCGCCTCCTTCTCTAATTACCCAAGTGTAGAGAAAGAGAAAGGAAGGAAGCCATATCCAATTGCCCGACAACTGGATTTGTACTTGACCCGCTTCCAAGCAAAGAAAAGGAGAAGGGAATGAAACCATATCCAATCAGCTGGGAACTAGCTGCACACTTCACCTGCTTCCGACGAGCTGCATCAGCCACAACCCGTCCAGGAACAAAGCCAGATAACCCAGACTGTGTCAAAGGAGAAGACCCTGTCAAGTCAACACAGACATCGCGACCACGATCTTAAGAATAAAGTAACACATCTGCAGGTCTGAGGGCCCCGTCGTTCCCT